CGGGTCCCCCGGCTGCCGCAGCGCCCTGCTCAGATGGACGGTTTCTGCCCTTTCCCCTCTTCCCTCAGGCGCGTTGCTGCTCACGGGCAGGGCAAGGGAGTCAGGCTGAGCTGCTGGGCACGCCCGCTTCACCGCTGGCGGCGGCCTGAAGGGCCTTGTGCTGCCTGCGTGGTGGCCTTCGGCCGACCTTGGGTGCTGCCCCGACCTTCCTGCTGTGCGTCGGGCTCTCTTTCTCGTCTGCGCCCCAGTGAGCACGGCTAACCGCAGACTTGTTTTGTTCGCGTTTGTTCAGGTGGCTTCTCGTGTGTGTGGGCAACTCTTTTTGCGTGATGTGCTCTCTTTGTGTGAAAAAGGGATTGAAGTTTGGGACAGCTATGGGGGAGGATGCAGTGACCGCACTACCATGAAGCATGGGCCATCCTGTCACATCTAAGGTTAAAAAAATAAAAATAAGGATGAGCCCTGGTATGTTTCTTGGGGCACTGTTCAGCCAGTGAAGACTGCTGTTAGGTCTGCAGACAGCTAAAGCATCAGCCAAATGCAAGTAAGAAAAACAAGCCTGTGATCGGTAGGCTTACATTTGCTCTGTAAAGATCTTCATCTCCAAAGGTTTGTTTTAGGATGCACAGAATTGAAACGGTTTGCAAACTGGTGTGCTTGAAGTGGGAAAGTTAGATAACACCAAAGGCAGTAGTTGTTATATACACAAATTCATGCTAGAAGAAAAAAAAGGTGAGTATGAACTCAGATTCACTGAATGCAGTTGGTTGATTTGTTTCAAGAAAATGACCTCTATTTGTCTTTTTGTTTTTAGGAAATATTCAGAGTTAATTAAAATGTCTTCCAGCAAACCTCCCAATGAAAATGAAACAGCCAAAGAGAGAATTCCAGGATTGAGGGGTGTTCGAACAACCGCACTCTTCCGAGCTGTGAACCCAGAGCTTTTCATTAAACCTGTAAGAGGCTCATTCAGGAACAGCTAAATATGCTTAGAGAGACATGGTTGCTTTAAAGTAATAATCACAATTCCGTGTACATTGCATAACCATCTCTTGTTATGCAAACCACCCAGTAGCGCAACTAAAAATATCTTTACTTTTTTCCAGTCTGATTGTTAAGTGCCCAGAACATTATATTGTTTCTATCCAATTTTTATTCCGCCATTATATTGTCTGATTTTATTCCACCATTACATTGTCTGTATCTAATTGAATTACTTTCAGAAAGACTACTCACAGGCATATTGTCCTTGTGATTTGACAGGTTGAGTAATAGGAGCCCTCTTAAATATTTAAAAGGGAACAAATTCTAAAATGCACGTTCTTTAATAATAAAGAATGAGATTTTGTGGTAGCTTTTAAATATTTTGGAGATTTTGCTTTTTCTCTCTGTCTCTCTCTATTTAATGTACCAAAAGTTTTAGGAATCGTTAAGAATTTTGTTACGCTTCCTTGTATGCCTTACGGGACTGCATTGTGCTCACTCGCTCACGTTCTTTTATATAGTCCGTTCACGGACTTTTATATAGGATAGCAGTGTGATTTAAACATATCAGCCAATATTCGTTGTTAACAATATTTACTTTTATAATAACATTGGTGATGCTCTGGTTTTATTAATACCTGCAGAACTCAGCGGTATCAGCAAGACTGAGTCGAATTTTGTGCATATAATAAAAGTCTCTCTTTCAGAGAAATAAACTTACCTGGCAGGAGCATAGTGCATAGTCCCCGTAATATATGCGGACGAATTTTGTTAGAAGTTTGTAGCAGCTACCTGTAGTAACTGGTTTTGCCCAGTTCGTTCATGCTCAAACAACATTTGTGACCACCAAAGGACACACACTGGGCAATATGATGTTCTGTCCTCGGAAAAGGAGAGCCCTCCTTTTCAGAGGGAACTCCTTTTGCTGTTACAAAGTCGGATCTCCCTTCTTGCTGCTTACCAAAGTCATTTGAATCAGTCTTCCAAAAAGGCAATGATGATTTTTGCAAATCTCGAAATAGACTACTGTTCACTTTCTCATCTAAGACTGAAAAATGTAATGTTTGTGACTGAAGAAGAAAGCATTTTGACTAGAAATGCATACTAATCTTTTATTTTTTGACAGAACAAACCTGTGATGGCATTTGGACTTGTAGGAATTACCCTCTGTGTGGCCTACCTTGGTTATTTGCATGCAACAGTAGAGAACAAGAAGGATCTCTATGAAGCAATTGACAGTGAAGGGTCCAGATATATGCGGAGGAAAACTTCCAAGTGGGACTGAAGAGGGAAGGAAGGAAATCTGCAGATCGCAGAGTTTTTCAAAGCAACTACTATTTTTTTTCTCTGTCCACTGAAATAATGGATAAATATCTCTCTTGCCATTTAATCCAATTTAAGTTCCATTATAAATTTCATGCCTGTAAAAATAAATCGTAATTAAGATATATACAAACAGTAAAGTGATTTTAAGAATTGTTGCCTGGGATCTTCAAAGCATGTCAGAAGAGACACAATTGACTCTGATGTGCAGACTAAACTGATAAATACCCATAGAAATTTATATGATAGTTCAAGTCATCTCTGTTTAAGGTGAAAACAAGGGTTTGGCTTTTATTTTTTAAACAGGAGTCGTATTACATTGTGAAAAGATGAAGTTGATCTCTTGTTCTGTTGAAAGTTGATAATTACAATGTTGCAAGTGAAATATTTTTTAAGATAATATTAGAAAGATCTGATAAAGAAGTTGTTGAAGGGTTTTATTTAATGAAGGAATGTGTAAAATACTGACCAAAATGATCCTTGGGTTATTCCTTATTATTATTGGACATCCTGTCTTACTCTTTTGAAGTACTTTTTCCCCTGGCTTCCTGAGGAAATGAGACTTGTGCAATTACTTCATCCATGTATTTACCAGTTGTCTCAGCTCTGATTAAAATGTTTGAACCTTTTATTTAACTTAAGTTAAATTTGAAAAATTTTAAAAAAGAATGCATCCCAACCAGTTTTGTTAAAAAATCAGTAGCCAGATAGAGGAGAAAAGGTAAACTAAGTGCTCCTGCCAAGAGACAGGCAGGAAGAACTCAGCCGTTACCTGTCCTGTTTGGCATTAGACAGCAGACCAGTGAACATATTGGTATCAGCTCACCAATCAGCAGGTATAATTCTAGGTTAGCCAGGTGAGCAGAGGGGGAATACCACAGGGTAAAAAGTATGGGACCCTGGTGTTATTACAGTGCTGCAGAGTAGGAGCGTGAGAAAATTCTGGGGTGTAATGGATAGGGCCATGAGATCTAATCAAAAACATTTGTAATTTTGAAAGAGAAAAGAGTTAAGTAGGAGAAGATACAAAGTTGTAAGAAGTCAAGCGTTGTTAATTCCTGTGCTCATGTAATCTTCTGTTTCTAAGTTGCATTTCAAAAACTACATTTCGATATATTGCAAAGTACATTATATGACATTAATTTATTATAAGTCACTGAACTAAAAATAAATTACAGATGTAAAGTCTAAAATCATCAGGTTCTTATGGACACGGAGGGAAAATAATTCATCAACATGAGCAAGCCCAATCTGTGCACGGGGGTTGGAGGTGATCCCTTGGCTGAGCATGGCAGACAGAAGGTGAGTGTTGTGGCATTTGCTTAGCGCATGAGGTGGTCCGCACGTGAGCCTTCCTGCTTCACTTTGCCTTAAGCAAACTGCAGGTCGGTACTCTCCTGTTCTGGCACTGGGACCTTATCCTATGAGTGAGCATGTCTGACTGTTTCTGTTTCCATTATTTCCTAGACAGTATCCTAATAGCCAAACTCCAAAACACGTGAGGAGAGGGCACATACCAGGCTGTGCTCATTTTTCCACCAAAGACCCTGCAACATTCTGGTTGCATTTTTCCATTCTCCTCCTCATAAATACATCTCCATTAAATACCCCCGAGAAGTTGAAAGACCTCTTCATTAGCCTTCTGACCAAGGTGGCTTTCTGTCAGGCCCAAGAAGGAAGAACGTGTGAAGGGCATCTGCTCTGCAGCTCTGGGAATTGTTTACAAGTGTTTGTTGTCAAGAGGATGAGGCCAGCCTCTTCTCCGTGGTGCCCAGCAACAGGACAAGAGGCAACGGGCACAAACTGAACCACAGGAAGTTCCCTCTGAACCTGAGGAAAAACTTCTTCACTGTGAGGGTGACGGAGCACTGGACCAGGTTGCCCAGAGAGGTAGTGGAGTCTCCTTCCCTGGAGATGGGATCCAACCCGTCTGGATGTGATCCTGGGCAATATGCTCTAGAGGTCCCTGCTTGAGCAGGGGGGTTGGACTAGATGATCTCCAGAGGTCCCTTCCAACCTAAACGATTCTGTGATTCTGTGAAAAAGGTGGCTTTGGACTGACTGTCTTGAGGGACAGTAACTGCTCAATGGGATTTCTCTGCATCTCCCTCTAAATCCTGTGTTTTGAACCGGTGATTTTCCTCCTGTCCACGTTTTACAGTTAGCTGTATCCAAAATTCAGCTAGGCCTTGGTTTGGCCACCTTGCCCTTGAGAAGGGAAGCAAGCTCTGCTTTTGATGGAGCGAAATCAATTAGTAGCATTTTCATAGCCTTTAAAGTATATTCCCTTCTTTGAGCCTAGATGCCTCACCACAGCAAGGTCTTGGGGCAAATCCAAAAGCTTACAAGAGACTGCCTTTTGAAAGGTGAAAGAATTTTCAGGTTAATTAATAAAACACTCATAATCATCAGATGCTCTGTATATCCCATAGGAAATATTTTGTTTCATAGTATATGAAGGACCTTCAGAATTAATCTTTTCTTTTAAAAACAATTACGCAGGATTTTAGCTTCATATTCTTCAGTTCATTAAAATGCATGAGACTTGTATGTTTGCATGGATTTGACTAAATGATGCCAAAAACAGTGCTACATGCAAGCATTTTAACCTGTTTTTCATAGGGTTTTTAAATAAATGCGTTAATTCTGATATAGGCAGATGCTTCATATGAGCAAGCCCAATCAGTGGTTTTCACATATTTGGGATTAATGTGGGATTTGGGTTCTTAAATGTTTAATTATGTTTTGTGAAGTGAATATGGATCTGGAAGTTACTGGGAAAAAAAGAGGAGAAGGAGAAAGGTCTAGGACTGTCTGGGCAGAGTCTAGGTGATGCACATACCAATGGGACTTGATTAACAAGTGTGTCTGAGATGAGGCCTGTTATCTTTTGCATGGAGTAATGTCTCATGGACCAGACTAATCCAGAGCAGTCCTGACTGAAGGAAGAGTGAATGTTTACACTTGTTCTTATTTTTAGGATTCTCCCTATTTATTTGTGGGAACTTCTGCACAGGTAGCTCTCTTAATACTACAGAAATTATATATAGAAAGATTATACTCAGTGCAAAGGCAGAGACGAATGCAGTAAATTAATGGACGCTAAAGTACTAATACTGGAATTTATTGTTTTAAGTGCCTGATTTTATACACATAAAAACTGTGTGTACTGAGATTAAAGCAAAAATCCTCACCTAAACAAAACTATGTCAATAACAAAACTTGCTCATTGGACTCTGGAAGTAGGGCTCCCCTTATGCATGCAGGGGATAAGCAAACACCACCAATACAATTTATTTTATCCTATTTATTTCTCTCAATTTCAGTTTCAATGTAGTAAGAAATGTTTACGATGGATGATAGCTGGCTTAACAGGAACTGTAAGTCAAAATGATTTCCTAGGCAGGGACCTTTTTCAGCTTTCTGCTGATTCCTCATTATCTGTGCTGGCATTCACATCTTTACCAACAACAGCAACAAAACGCTATGATTCAAATGTCTGAAACAGTAGCTATTGCCCTGTTCTTAAAACCTCCTTAGACTACATGCCTTGAATAGGAATTATTGACATTCAGCAAAAAAAGTGCAATAAAACCCCAAAGCCTGCTGCGATGCTGCTTACCTCTATTATCAGCGAAAGCGCTTTGTGAGCAAAGCTAGTCCTGCCTAGTAACAGTTGCCATGTAGGAAGTTGCGCTGAGGCTCAAAGGGGTCAGTTGATACAAACCTCCCTCGTCATCTGCCTGCAGCATGTGACGGAGTTGTCAGCATGTGTGAATCCTAATCCAAAGGCAAACGTTTTAGATAACATGGTAAAGCGTAGTGATTAATGGTTTTTCTCTCTGCACCGGCTTGCGTGTTTTCCGTAGCAACAATAAGCAGTTTGCCTGCAAGCAGAATATAGTTCTGACATTTTAGTAACTGTTACAGGAAAAGACTATCATACCACAATGATCAGAAATCCAGATTTCGACTCCTTTGTTTGCTGTGCTATCTGTTCAAAAATAATATCACCACCACCTTCCCCTGCTACTTTTTATCGGATCCGGGAGTATAAGCCTTTCAAAACACGGTATTACACTCATCAGGATATACTGGGTAAGTTTCTGAAATCCTTTCCTTGCAATTTGAGATTTAGGAATACTCAGAAGGCTGCTATATCCATCTGTTCTGGAGGGCCATGAGGGCATTCACATTTCGGTAAGAAAGAACCGCACTTGCCTTCTGCATATTAACAAATCCTGCACGTTCAGCGGGGGGACAGGGCCAGCCATCCTACAGCACGTGAAGGCGTTCAGATTTGCACACGCTGAAGTGCGAAAGAGAGCTAGCGGCAAGAATGTTGGCGAAGGTTTTCTAAGGCTCATGTAGGTTGGAAAGAACTGAACCGGGCTTACATGTGGGAGCATCATCCCCTCATCGTGCGGCAGGACCCAGCTGGGATATTTTATCCTGAAGCCTGCCCTCTCCTATCTGATTCTGGCTGCTGACCTTCTCTTGAAACTCTGTCGGGACCTGGTACAAACACTCTACTGAAGTCAACAGAGTTTTGCTTCGGTATCAGGAGCCTTAGGATCAAGACAGAAAATTTTTCTTTCTGTGTTAGTTTTAGCACAGTTATCATCTCAAGTCTCTGTGTTACAGCTGTGTCAAGCATAACTTTAAAAAAAATAATTTAAACATAGTTACTACCTTCATTGTGGGAAAAGGCCAAACAAACAGCTGACAAACCGCTCCGAAGAGTGATATGACGTACTGATATAAACACTCTGCGAAGCTGAAATTTGGTTTTCCTAGCGTACCACAGTTGTAACTTAAATGATGAAGGAAAACATATGGTGGCATTCATATGTTTGAGGATCTAGCAAGAATATGAATGAACTTTATGCGCTATGCCTACTTATCAGAGAGGTTTCTGCTCAGCGCTATGACGTTCTGTTGAAATCACACTGTGCCCTTTAATTAACGCTCATTGCAAGGGGGGGTGTCTTTGGTGTCTGTTTTAAACAGTATCGAGAGATGAGCAGGGTATTGAAAGCACAGCAACAGGATGAATGCTGTATGCGTCTCAGGACTATGTAGACATGAATAACGGGAAACAGAAGGCCTCAGAAAGTCTCTCTTTAAATTATTTTCTCTTTACTTTTTAATATAATGGACTGGAGACAAGCTTAGTCAGGGCACAAAACGTTTGTGGGTGAGATTTCTGCACAGTGCACTTCTGTTTATTTTGCCTATTTAAATCAGTTCACCCCTTTGTCCCATCCTGCTATCCCTTCCCAGGTACTTCATTCAGGTTAGCTCCATGAAAGGACTTTGCCCTCCCACGTGGAGTAGGAGGAAACCTGGAGCGAAAGAAGGGGACTTAATCCTCCAGTGGCTATTTCCAAGTTAGCTCTCTTGTGGTTGTATTCCTTTTTCATTTTCCTAATAACGCAGGGTGAGAATATGTGTCTCTTCAGCCCTATGGGGAATAGTTAAGGATCGGAAGCAATGCTCAGGCTAGGCAGGAAGCCACTGGGTAGAAAAGGTAAGGGGAGAGATCTGAAATGCCACTCTTTTGTGGGGCTTTTGTTTTAGGCTGTAGAAAGGCATCTCTATCCACCCGTCTCTGCAGTGGCTTCTCCTCTT